GAATTCCTATATCTTTCTCTGTAACACCGGGAGTGAGTTAGTCTTGCACTAAAGGAGCTTGCACACGCTTGAACAACATCAAAAAAAAGTGGTAGGGCTGCACTTCTTAGTAGAGCTGCACGATATTAGAGAAATCTGACATTGCAATATTTGTTTTTTTGCGATATATATTGCGATATGAATACAATTTTACCAGATGGCTTAAATAGCTCTGTTTGGAAAGAAACCATTCATTTAGATCGACTGGGGTGATTTTATAAGGGTGTGACTAATGTATAAAAAATAATAAACAAATAGTGAGCAAAAATAATAATAAACAGTTTAAATAAGTATTCAGGTACAGAAATTAAATAATTAAATGTCAAATATAGAGTAGTCCTATTTTTATGATTATTTCAGGCAATTTATTCTTCATTAAATTTACAAATGTGGTACTTTTTGTGCCCGGGTGCTCTTGAAATGTCTTTAAAAAACATGCAATGATAAATTTTCACTGTTATGGATATAATTTGGTGATGTTGATTAAAAATAATCCCAACTTATCATTGCATATCCTGCAATGTGACTATTGCGAACACACACATTGCAAAATCAATGCTGAAACAGTATATTGTACAGCTCTACTTTTTAGTAGAAGTTTATTGACACAGTACCAATTCTTACTATTAACTAATGGCTTATCACCTGCTTATTATTAAGATATTAACTGTTTATTAGTACTTATAAAGTATGATCTCATTCTACATCCCTAATCCTACCCAATACCTAAACCCAACTACCTTACTAACTATTAAAAGTAGCTAATTAGTAGTTTATTTGGATAAAAGTATTAGTTAATGGTTTATTAATAGCAAGAATTGTACCTTAAAATTAGGACTGCAGCTATCGATCATTTAAATAATCAATTATTCTAGCGCTGTAATCAATTGATCAATCAGATACGCTTCTTCCATTTTCTTTGAAGATCTTGTGACCAAAATAACAAAACAACAAAGCAATAAAGTCAATAAAAGCCAATCACAGACACACAGTAAATATATATAACTCATAATATACTTACAGGATAAAATAAAAACTATTTAAATAAATATAATGCGCAAATTAAATAAATGTTATACAGACAAGAAGTGCTGTGTTACTTTATTATAACGAAGCATCGATTACTATACATTTAATTGACTTTTTTTATAATCAAATAATTAGATTAAGTTTCAGCCCTACTTAAAATAAAAAGCAATGTTCTTTATTAATAAAAGTATTAGTTATATTATACAAAAAATAAGTGAATGTCTTTATTTGGTTGTGCATTATCTGTTACCAAATTTATTGCATGTACTGTAGCAGCTAATATTTGCAACCTTGTAATCTATTCTTTATTTGCATACTTGTATATTCATACATCGCTACAAATGAGGTCAAACTGAATATGCAAATATAAAAATAGGGCTTGAAAATCTCAAACTAGGTCTATTTTGTACCATATTCATAGACATTTCTTGTAATGTTTTTTAATAATTGAAGTTGTAAGTTGTGATCAATTCAGTGTTGTCCTTCTGCTACTTTTATTCAGGAAAAAGGCTGAACGCAGTAAGAAGTTTTACACCGATCTGATGTCCAGGGAGCACATCCCGACTATGATTAACCCCAAACCCTGCGGCCACCTCTGCTGCTGCATCATCAAGGGCTGCGAGCAGGTCAGAATCACTGATGCTCATGGGACTATCATATGTCGTGGGCATTAAAACCTCTCAAGTCTCCACTCAAAGAGTTTAGGACAGTAGCAGTTATCTAGATCACTTACAAAAACATTAATGATGACGCATTTCACTTACAGTTGAAGTCAGAATTATTAGCTCCCCTTTGAATTTTTTTTTTTATATATATATATTTCCCAAATTATGTTTAACAGAGCAAGGATATTTTCACAGTATATCTAATCATATTTTTTATTCTGGAGAAAGTCTTATTTGTTTTATTTTGACTAAAATAAAGGCAGTTTTTAATTTTTAATTAAACAGGGGCTCTAATAATTTAGGGGGCTAATAATTGTGACTTTAACTGTAATATGCATATTTAAAGTGATAGTTCACCCAAAAATGAAAGTTCTGCCATCGTTTACTCATACTTGACTTGTTCCAAACCAATTTAGTATTTTGAAAAATGTTGTAAACATGTTACCACTGATATAACAAATACTTTGGAAGTCAATGGTTCAATGGCAGTGGCGCAGTAGGAAGTGCTGTGGCCTCACAGCAAGAAGGTCGCTGGGTCGAACCTCGGCTCAGTTGGCGTTTCTGTGTGGAGTTTGCATGTTCTCCCTGCCTTCGTGTGGGTTTCCTCCAGGTGCTCCGGTTTCCCCCACAGTCCAAGGACATGCAGTACAGGTGAATTGGGTAGGCTAAATTGTCCATAGTGTATGAGTGTGTGTGTAAATGTGTGTGTGGATGTTTCCCAGTGATGGGTTGCGGCTGAAAGGGCATCCACTGCAAAACCATTCGCTGGATAAGTTGGTGGTTCATTTTGCTGTGGCGACCCCGGATTAATAAGTGACTAAGCCAACAAGAAAATGAATGAATGAATGAATGGTTACAGGTTTCCAACATACCTTAAAATATCTTCTTTGGTGAACCAAAAGAAATATGGTTTTAAACAAGTCAAGGTTAATAAATAATAGCAGAAGTTTCATGTTGGGTAATGATGATGCATTTTATTTAACATTCAAATTTAAAGAGATAGTTCACCCAGTAATCTAAATTCTGCCATTGTTTACTCGTCCTTGACTTGTTCCAAACATGATTGAGTATTTAGAAGAATATTGTAAACCTGTAACCACCGATATCAATATAGTAAAAACAAATACTTTGGGAGTCTATGGTTACAGGTTCCCAACATACTTCAAAATATCTTCTTTGGTGTTCAACAGAATTGGTATTAAACAAATCAAGGGTAATAAACAATGCAGGACCTTTCAATTTGCGTAATGATGACATATTTCACTTAACATACATATTTAAAGTAATAGTTTACCTAAAAAATCCAATACTGCCATCATTTACTCATCCTTGACTTGTCCCAAACCAGTTTGAGTATTTAAGAATGAAATCTGTAACCACTGATATCCATAATAAAAACAAATACTTTGAAGTTAATGGTTACAGGTTCCCAACATACTTCAAAATATCTTCTTTGGTGTTCAGACAGAACAAAAGAAATTGCTTTAAACAAGTTAAAGGTAATAAATGATGGCAGAATTTTCATTTTGGGTTTTTGGCTGTACTATGACTTTAAATCATGAATGCATGATAATTAATACATTTTTTTTCCCGATTAGACACAAACATCCCCTTTAGTGCATTTTGCCTATATCTCTGTTTCATTACATTTAATCATATTGGACAGGATGATGTAGAGATGTGTTCAACAGCAGTGCTGTTTTATTCAGCAGCTCTAGATTAGCAGACTTCCGGTTTGTCAGAGAGCTGTTTTTTTGTAGCACACATCCCCACCTGCTGGACGATGACTGTAAATGACTGCTGGGGAAAACATGCTGTTGCAGGCATGTAAAAAATAAATAGTTAGATGACTTTTACTTAACTGTTTAAAATTTGTACAACATTTTTTTTATTAAACTGTCTCACTTTGAATGACTGCAGAAGTTTTTTTTTAAAAACTTAAAGCGATATTGTTGTTTTTAAAATTGTTTTTGTTTCTAATTCATTCTTTTGCCATAAAAAAAGCCTTCATTCCTGACATGGCATTACATTAGCTTATTTATTCATTCATTTTCCCTCAGCTTAGTCGCTGATTTATCAGGGGTCGCCACAGTGGAATGAACCGCCAACTATTCCAACACACACTCATACACTATGTCCAGTTTAGTTTATTCAATTCCCCCTATAGCCCATATGTTTGGACTGTGGGGGAACCCGGAGCACCTGGAAGAAACCCATGCCAACATGTGAAGAACAAGCAAACTCCACACAGAAATCCCAACCTGGGACTCGAACCAGCAACCTTCTTGCTATGAGTCGACAGTGCTAACCACTCAGCCACAATGCTGCCCTAATCTAACTTGTATGATATGCTTAATTGTTCACTTAAAGCATTGGGATGTAGCTGAATTAAATGGGACCGTTACATCTGTTCAACTACTCATTAACGTAATTACCTCATCAGCCAATCATAAGGCAGCAGCTTGTCAGGACAATATCCAGATAAAATCAAGCATCGAAATGGAGAAAACCCTCCAGAATATTGTGAGTTCAGTGGTTTGAGATTTTGAAATTTTGAAAAAATCACAAGACTTTAAATAAATATTACATTTTGAGAGTCATTTTAGGCAGCAAATATACAAAGAAATGTCCCTGCACAATCCTGGAGGGACTGATTTAAGTGGCTGAATATGGCATGGTTGTCGGTGCCAGACGGGCTGGTTGGGAATTTCAGAAACTGCTGATCCACGCACAAACATCTCTAGGGTTTACAGAGAATGGTCAGAAAAAGAGAGCGCTTTCAATGAGTGGCAGTTCTGTGAGCAAAAATGCCAAAGGTCAAAGAAAAAACATCACTAGAGAGTTTTGAGCTGATAGAAAAGCAAAAGCATCTGTCTCATGTCCAGCCTTGACACTTCTATTGAAGACTTTTTGACAACATGTATTTAAGGGTGCCATGAGTGCTTTGAAATGTGCATTTTTATTTGATGTTTGGCATAATCTAATATAAAGAGTGAGTGGTATATAGTGTAGCTCCTCCCCTTTTAAGAAAAAAAACAACCAATAGTGTTTGGTTTAATCAGCGCTCTGCCAGTGGGAGTGGTTGAGTTTAAGCACATCAAATGTAAACTTGTGTCTTGAAGGGGGCGGGGGATGTCAGACATTAGAGAGCGTTTGATTGGTCAAGATTTGATGAGAAACCAAAGTATGAGGTTACGTGAATAACACCATTGATCCATTTAGGCAAAGAGAGCCCAGACTCTGTCCTGGGGAGCCGGGTGTCCTGCAAAGTTTAGTTCCAACCCCAATCAGACACACCTGGGGCAGCTAATCAAGCTCTTACTAGGCTAGAAACATCCGTGCAGGTGTGTTGAGGCAAGTTGGAGCTAAAATCTGTAGGACACCAGCCTTCCAGGACTGAGTTTGGGAACCCCTGATTTAGGCGGACGTGACAAACTGCAAGCTTTGCATCTTTATATCAATTTCATGTCTCCTAAATGTGTGTTTTGTCATTGTTTTGGTGTGCACTAGCTTATACTGTGGCAGACCACGATTTTTTTTGTGATTTTTGCAATTAAAAACTACAGACTTTTTGGTGTTGATTTCCAGAAACTTGTGGAAGTTTTGGGATTGAAAAAATATATATAATTTCCTTCAATTTGGTCACTTCCAGCTGCCGTCATCATTGAACCATTCTCCATCATTGTAAGCTGCTTGCTGTTTTCTGTCTGTTTCATTGCTCCATTTGTTAGATGTTTGCTCCCACTTTTATTTGCAGCCTTAAACACGTCAAACGCAAAAAACACCCAATTTATGCCATGACATTCGCTCAATTCTGCGTACGAAACATCTAAGTCATGTAAAACTATTAATTGCAAACTGATTTCAATATAATTTGATTGCATGGTTTAGAATTTGATGTTTTATGAGATTATTTAAATTTTTTGAAATTATTTTGCGTTTCAAGTAAGAATTTTGCAAGGTCACAAAAATTTGCAATTTTTTGTTGATTTTTGCGTTGGATTCAGCGATCGTAAAATCGCAAACAAAGGAACAATACTGATTCTAACATCTAAAAAGTTTTATTGTAATTTCATTGTACCTTTAAGTAGTGATGTCTGACTTTGGTCATTTTAATCCACACTGCAGGAAGAGGCTGTGAACTACTACACTAAGCTTGAGGCCAAACTGAAGGAAGAATACAGAAAAGAACGAGAAAAAGTCAACACTAAACCTCTGGGAATGGCCTTCGTTACCTTCCAGAATGAAGCCATGGCAGCCCTGTAAGTCTATGTAATGTTCTGGTGTCTGTGTGTTACACCACTAATCAAAAAGTACTGAAATTGACCTTTCAGTTTGTTCCTAAAATGTGGTGGAGTTGATTGATGAATAAGAAGATAGGTCATAAATATTGATTTAAAATACTGAGAAGTTTTTTTGTTTGATTTGTTGGTTTGTTGCTGTTTTACTTCTGTACTATGTAAGTGTAAAGTTAAAATGCAGTAAAGATATTTAAAATAAAAGAAGAGAAAATGATCAGGTTTTGCCATTATATTCTCTGAAGTAAAACTCAAATGAATGTTAAAATCGTTACCTTCTGATACAATTCTGTCTCCATTGGGATTTATTATTGAAAGGGAAAATAATATTAATATCTCTGTTTTTTTCTCTTCCCAGCATCCTGAAAGATTTTAACGCATGTCAATGTCACGGTTGTCACTGTCGACGACAGCCAAAGTCCTCCCCGTTCAGCAGCCAACTCCACACATACAACTGGACGGTCTCATATGCTCCAGATCCACAAAATGTTTACTGGTAACATCCCTTTCCTAAACCTCATCAAGTAATGATCCTTATGATTATAGTGCTTGACTTTGTGCATAAACCAGAATCCATATTGTTGTGGAACTGTCCACTTAGATATAAAAGACCATAATTGGACATCTACACCAGATTTTTTATGCACGTCAATTTGAAATCAATCAATCATTTTATCTTAGTGTACACTTTGTAAAAAAAAAAAAGTTGGACATATATAGTACTTAAAGAGAAAGTTCACCCCAAAATTAAAAAGTGGTTCTTTTTTCTGTTGAACACAAAAGAAGGTATTTTGACGAGTATTTGAAGAGTTCAGATGCAAAACCCTTTAAATCCATCAGACCTCTTTTCTTGTAATTGAGCATTTTCTATCAGGCTCTTCTAATTAGGTTTAAAAGTTTAATTTTATATGTAATGATAAGATTATTATATAGTAAATAAAATACACGTTTTTCAAAAATCTCACTTTAGATAATTCTTTGGTTTTTAACAATGTAAATTTTCTTTTGCGCCAAAAAATGCTAAATCCACTTGTTCTTTTTTGCAAAAACCTCTAAATCCACCTATTGGCACAAGACAGTTTATTTAGTTAAAAATCCCTAAAGATGCAATTAGAAATTATTTTACCAAGCATAAAACACATTACACAAACTACCTACAATTAAAAATATATAAATGCGTCAAGTGGTGGTTCATTCCGCTGTGATAAACCAGGGAAAAAGCAGAAGGAAAATGAATGTATGAAATCTGTTAAGTAATTCAATCTGAACAATCTCTTGTCATTTCTGATATTTAAGATTTAGATTTAATGTAAGTACAGCAATGTAAACATTGCAAACATTGTAAGCTAAACTTACAATTACTAAATAATGTAGTGTAAAACATGATGAAACATCAATATCTGTGCATTGTCCATTAATATAAAAAGCTTATCAGACGGATGGGTATTATAAAGAAGGCTAATATAAATGTACAGTTTCATACATTAAATTCATCTTTTAAAAATAGCTTAAATTAGCAAATAAAACACAAGGTAGGCCTACTGGGCAAAAAGGGGATGCCTCTCAGACAATTTGAAAAGCTGTCATTCATTCATTCATGCATCCATCCATCCCCACCAAGGTCTTGGTCTCTTGTTTATCCTCATTTCATCCATGTGGGATAAAAGAACGGCATCTTAACTCTGTCTTTAATGAAATGCAGTTGCAGTTTAATGTATGGCAAATTCTACTCATTCAAAGTAGCGTCACTGCGCAAAAAACGTTATGAATGCATGCTACACTTTCGACTGTACAGTGTGTTTTCTTTTTCTTATAATTCACAGAGTTTTGAGGTAAGGGACATTTTCATTTGCCATTCACTGACAGCCGGACAGGTTCATCCAGTTCATCAAACTCTCTTTTAAAACCGAAATCGAAAGCGGAATAAAACAGTCTCCTCATTAAGCTGGCATATCAGCACGCTGTACATTGAAAACGTGATTCGATTCATGCCTTCTGATTGGTTCTCGGGATATAGCGGCTTTTCCTGTCAAAGGAAATAGTTAACAATAGGAAACAGTTTCCAACATCTTTTAAAATAACTTCTTTCAACAGTTCAACAGTAAAAAGAAACTAAAACAGGTTTGTGACAAATGAAGGATGAGAAAATGATGACAATTTTCAGTTTTGGGTGAACTATCCCTTAAATAGATAGATCTGTCCAATTATATGGATATTAGGTCAAACAGTGTACAGTAAATAATCACAGAGCCGAGATATGTTATATAGTATAAATTGCTTTGTATATTCTAGTTTTGCAGGTGAAGTTAGGATGTACTTTTATGATATTACTGGCTAATATGGTATAGTTTACAATTCTTCACAACAACAAAAAGTGCCTTTATTAATGTATAAAGTTGTCATTATTATTATTATTAAGTAATATATAGGTAACACTTTATTTTAAGTCACAATTCATGCTATTAACAAACCATTAACAAAACATATAGCTCAATAAACTGCTAATTAATTGTCAGTAAGGTCGCAGTTGGGTTTAGGTATTGGCTAAGATTAGGGATGTAAAACAAGATCATTCATTATAGCTACTAATTTACAGTTAGTATATTAATAAAAGGCAGGTAATAAGCCAGTAGTGAAGAGTGACTTAAACTAAAATGTTACCGTAATATTTTTTCTGTATTGAGCTTGCCAACTTAAAGCCACCACATGCTGAAATGACCATAAATAAATTTGATTGTACTCTCTGTCTTACCTTATGGTTGGATATGCTTATAACAGTTGTATCATTCATTGTGGTAATTGTAACTTATACCTTGTTCTCCACAGGGAGCATTTGTCCATTAGTGGCCTGAACTGGTGGGTCCGCTGCTTTGTCATCAACTGCTTTCTCTTCCTCCTCCTCTTCTTCCTCACCACCCCTGCTATCATCATCTCCACGATGGACAAGTTCAACGTCACTAAACCTGTGGAATACCTGAATGTAAGGAGTCTGTTTGTCCAGGTTGTAATGAAAACTCACGCGGTAGTGAAAAACTGTTTGAGAAATTGATTTTGAATTAACTCTAAGATTCTCAAAATCCATCACTATTCACTTTTGAATCAATTCTGTGCTCAGTTTTTAACAGCAGATGGTGCTGTATGCTTTACAAACAGTCATGCTCTGCAAGCATCCAATACAAAATATATACATATAACATTTTACATGACTCCTTCTCGTAGCATTTGAATGCATGGTCAAAAACTAGCCTAGAGTGCTGTCTGTTATTAAAACTAGCCTAGAGTGACATCTGCTGTTTAAAAACTAGCCTAGAGCGCCGTCTGCTGTTAAAAACTAACCTAGAGTGCCATCTGCTATTAAAAACTAGCCTAGAGCGCCGTCTGCTGTTGAAAACTAGCCTAGAGCGCCGTCTGCTGTTGAAAACTAGCCTAGAGCGCCGTCTGCTGTTGAAAACTAGCCTAGAGTGCCGTCTGCTGTTGAAAACTAGCTTAGAGCGTCGTCTGCTGTTAAAAACTAGCCTAGAGCGCCGTCTGCTGTTAAAAACTAGCCTACAGCGTTGCTGCTGTTAAAAACTAACCTAGAGCGCCGTCTGCTGTTGAAAACTAGCCAGCCTAGAGCGCCGTCTGCTGTTGAAAACTAGCCTAGAGCGCCGTCTGCTGTTAAAAGCTAGCCTAGAGCACCGTCTGCTGTTAAAACTAGCCTAGAGCGTCGAACTAGCCTAGAGCGCCATCTGCTGTTGAAAACTAGCCTAGAGCGCCGTACTAGCCTAGAGCGCCATCTGCTGTTGAAAACTAGCCTAGAGCGCTGAACTAGCCTAGAGCGCCGTCTGCTGTTAAAAACTAGCCTAGAGCGTTGCTGCTGTTAAAAACTAACCTAGAGCGCCGTCTGCTGTTGAAAACTAGCCTAGAGCGCTGAACTAGCCTAGAGCACCATCTGCTGTTGAAAACTAGCCTAGAGCACCGTCTGCTGTTAAAAACTAGCCTTGAGCGCCGTCTGCTGTTGAAAACTAGCCTACAGCGCCGTCTGCTGTTAAAAACTAATGTCAGAATCCATTAAAAATACAAAATAGGGATGCACTTTGAAAATCTCAGCATCGTTGCAGAATTGATTTCTCAAATAATTGTTCGCCAGTCGCCATGGCTCTAATAAACACAATGCTCTTGAGTCATGATTCTGTCAGTCATCTCAAACCTCCCTCCGTTTCCCTGTGTCTGTTCCTCCAGAACCCCATCGTCACTCAGTTCTTCCCTACCCTGCTGTTGTGGTGCTTTTCGGCCCTCCTCCCTACCATCGTCTACTACTCCGCCTTTTTTGAGGCCCACTGGACACGGTACAATCCCAATCCCTGTATATCAGTTAACCTAATTGACCCGGAGATGGTCTCCATTTATAGCAACTAAACTAGGGCTGCACAATAGATTGCTTTTAAGTTCTGTGACTCAGCATTTCATTCGTTTCAAACATTTGAGCACAAAAAAATTATGATGTTTTGAGGTGTAACAGAAATTAATTGTACAGTATTTAAGTATTTATACATTTATATACACTCACCGGCCACTTTATTAGGTACACCTGTCCCACTGCTTGTTAATGAAAATTTGTCACATGTGATGGTGGTCACATGGGAGCAACTCAATGCATTTAGGCATGTAAACATGGTCAAGACGATCTGCTGCAGTTCAAAGCGAGCATCAAAATGGAGAAGAAAGGTAATTTAAGTGACTTTGAATGTGGCATGGATGTTGGTGGCAGACTGGCTCAGAAACTGCTGATCTTGTGGGATTATCATGCACAATCTCTAGGGTTTACAGAGAATGGTCTGAAAAAGAGAAAATATCAAGTGAGCGGCAGTTCTGTGGGCACAAATGCCTTGTTGATGCCAGAGGTCAGAGGAGAATGGCCAGACTGGTTCCAGCTGATCGAAAGACAACAGTACCTCTAACCACTTGTTACAACCGAGGTCTGCAGAAAAGCATCTTTGAACCCACAACACGTCCAACCTTGAGGCGGATGGGCTACAGCAGCAGAAGATCAAAACGGGTGCCACTCCTGTCAGCTATGAACAGGAAACTGAGGCTACAATTCACACAAACTCACCAAAATCATACAATAGAAGATTGGAAAAACATTGCCTGGTCTGATGAGTCTCGATTTCTGCTGCGATATTTGGATGGTAGGGTCAGAATTTGGCATTAACAACATGAAAGCATGGATCCATCCTGCCTTGTATAATTGGTTCAGGCTGGTGGTGTAATGGTGTGGGGGATATTTTCTTGGCACACTTTGGGCCCATTAGCACCAAATGAGCATCATGTCAACGCCACAGCCTACCTGAGTATTGTTGCTGTTACTTCCAGCAGAATAACGCACCATGTCATAAAGCGTGAATCATCTCAGACTGGTTTCTTGAACATGACAATAAGATAACTGTACTCACATGACCTCCACAGTCACGAGATCACAATCCAATGGAGCACCTTTGGGATGTGGTGTGCATCATGGATGTGCAGCCAACATATACGCAGCAACTGTGTGATGATATCAAGTCAATATGGACCAAAATCTCTGAGGAATATTTCCAGTACCTTGTTGAGTCTACGCCACGAAGGATTAATGCAGTTCTAAAGGAACAATGGGGTCCAACCCAGTACTAATAAGGTGTACCTAATAAAGTGGCCAGTGAGTGGTTTTCTTCTAATTTTTGTCTTGTTTCTGGTCCAAATATCTACATTTCAAAAGCATACTAGATTATTTTGCTTACCCCATTATTTTGCTTACCCTATATATAAACCTATATATATATATATATATATATATATATATATATATATATATATATATATATATATATATTGATATTACTTTTGTAGGTGGAAACAATATTTTTACTCAAATATTTGCACTAGAAACAAGACAAAGTAAAGTAAGAAAAGCTTTTTTACGTTGTGATTATTAAATGTATGTTCCTCAATACTGTCAATACTTCCCCGAAAACTGTCAAATAGTGCTATTCAAACCATCTTGTGAAACTGTAAACATATCACAATGTTTATTAAAATATCTCTATATCAGATTTTTCCAATATCGTGCAGCTCTATACTAAACTATTTTCTGCCTAGCACACGCATAAGGGTGCTAAAAGCTGAAAATGTGTTGGACCTTTGCCTTTCAGATCTGGAGAGAACAGAACAACCATGCACAAGTGCTACACCTTCCTCATCTTCATGGTTCTGCTATTGCCATCTCTTGGATTGAGCAGGTAATTAATAACCACTGGTGTACATAGAAAACTATCTATGCTAAAAGGAGTGTAAAACGTTAATTTTCCTGAATAAGCAACCTGATAAGAGTCTTTGTTATATGCTAAGTTTAAATCTGCGTATATTACAAAAACATTTTCATATGCAGATACTGTATTTTGTTACTAAAAAGCATATCATATGCTCATGGGTATTTGAAAAAAAAGAAGTTAGTATAGGTGTTTCTTTACATTTGCCATCAGAAATGCTAAGTGGTAACTGAGTGAATTTTTCCCTCTTGAATGAGAGATGTTAATTAGATATGTGTTAATTATTACCTTCCTGTTTTACAGTAATCATTTGCATCATAATAATAACATAATTTTATGCTTAAAGGAGTATAAAAATGTTATTTTCCTGAATAAACAACCTGATAAGAGTCGTTGTTAAATGCTAGTTTAAATCTGTGTATATTACAAAAACACTTTCAAATGCAAATACTGTATTTTATCACTACATGGGTATTGGAAAAAATAAAATGTTTATTTATTTATTTTTGTTATTTTGGAGGCTGTGTTAGTTTTGTTGAACTGGTTCTAAATTGTATTAAACACTCAACATGATTTCTTCCCCAAATGCAGTTTGGATCTTTTCTTCCGCTGGCTTTTTGATAAGAAATTCCTTGATGAGGCAACAATCCGATTCAGGTAAGTCCACATCAGGAATTGCAGCATTAAAATCGTCCCCTTTCATCCCCTGATTTGGGAAGTTAAACTGGAAAAGCTAGAAAAGTGACAAATGTCTACTGATGTTGTGAATTGTAGCTTTGCAATAAAAACTTCAATAAAAATAAAAATTCCCCTCATCTCTGTTTTAATGATCTTTTTCCTGGCTGTTAGGTGTGTCTTCCTGCCAGATAATGGAGCTTTCTTTGTGAACTATGTTATTGCGTCTGCCTTCATTGGTAACGCCATGGACCTGTTACGCATTCCTTATTTCCTCATGTACATGATCCGGCTGTGTCTGGCGCGCTCTGCTGCAGAAAGGCGCAATGTAAAGAAGGTCTGTGTAGTTTAGAGTTTATCTCATTTAAATGTATGTACTGTATTCACTCCTTTGTTTCTGAATTTCTCATTCTGCTTCTATTAAATGCATTTTGTTACAGCATCAAGCTTATGAGTTCCAGTTTGGAGCTGCTTATGCTTGGATGATGAATGTCTTCACTGTGGTCATGACCTACAGCATCACCTGTCCAATTATTGTACCATTTGGTGAGTAAATAATTAATTAACCTACACTGAGGTATTATTTAAAGGCTCAGTATTGTTATGTATGTGATGTAGGTGTTACTTTGTTTAGTATTGATTGTGTTCAGCACTTTGGGCAACGTTGTGTTGTAAAAAATGTGCTATATAAATAAACTAACTAACAAACTAGTATGTGTTTTGGCCACTAGAGGGTGCATATTCACAACAAACAAAGGTGTATTTTGATGACGGCATGACTAGGTGTGGAATCATGCGAGTTTTAGTCTTCATTACATGAATGAAAAAAATAAATAATTGTATATTTTTACCCGCAGGATTGATGTACATGCTTCTGAAGCATCTGGTAGACCGGTATAATATGTATTATGCCTACTTGCCCTCCAAACTGGATAAGAAAATCCACTCTGGAGCTGTCAACCAGGTGGTGGCAGCACCTATACTCTGCATCTTCTGGTTGCTCTTCTTCTCTACTGTCCGTCAAGGTAAGAACGGTCTCTGTGTTCTGCCTGATTGTAGACATGCTCTGGATAAGGGCTGCACAACAAAGTTTTAGCATCAATCAACATTGCAAGCTCTGCAGGGTTGAGTCTTGATTACAGTTGGTCAGACACTACACTACCTGACAAAAGTCTTGTCATCGACCCGAGTTGTAGGATCAACAAATAACTTGACTTCTAGTTGATCATTTGGAAAAGAAGGTGGATTTTTCTATTGAGCTGCATCCCAATCATCGCAAATACTGCAGAAGACCTACTAGAACACACATGGACCCAAGATTCTCACAGAAATCAGTCAAGTTTAGTGAAGGAAAAATCATGGTTTGGGGTTACATTCAGTATGAGGGCGTGCGAGAGATGTGCACACTGGATGGCAACATCAACAGCCTGAAGTATCAAGACATTTGTGCTGCCCATTACATTACAAACCACAGGAGAGGGCAATTTCTTTAGCAGGATAGCGCTCCTTCTCATACTTCAGCCTCTTCATCAAAGCTCCTGAAAGCAAAGAAGTTGCTCCAGGATTAGTCAGCCCAGTCACCAGACATGAACGTTATTGAGCATGTCTGGGGTAAGATGAAGGAGGAATCATTGAAGATGAATCCAAAGAATCTTGATGAGCTCTGGGAGTCCTGCAGGAACGCTTTCTTTGCCATTCCAGATGACTTTATTAATCAGTGATTTGAGTCATTGCAGAGATGTATGGATGCAGTCCTCCAAGCTCATGATGGAGTCAGACACAATATTCATTCTGTTTGCACTGCAGCATGACTTTATATTCTATACTGGACACTATTTCGGTTAAGTGACAAGACTTTTGTCTAAGCAAAGACAGACCTTACTGTCCTAATTAAATCATTAAACATCAAGGCTGGATCATATTTAATTTTGACCAAATAAGCGTCATCTAGAGGCCTTTGCCTTTAATATAACCCTCTTCTGAGACCAAATGATCAACTAGAAGTCAAGTTATTGTTTGTTGTTCCTAAAACTTGGATAGGTGACAAGACTTTTGTCAGGTAGTGTATTCACTAACATATACACAATGAACAATACATTTATTACATTGTTTGTTTAAATAAAGTTGTTCATTGTTAGTTCGTGTTCACTTGTAATAAATGCTGTACGAGTATCGTTTATAATTAGTTAGTAAATACATTAACTAATAAAACCCCATTGTAAAGTGTGACCTGTATCTTTGCCTCAGTTGCATTTATCGAATGTAATTAATTATATTTTATGCAGATGCAGTGCTCTACATATCATTCCAATCAATCTAAAACAATTATTCCTTTTCAAAAATGATGAATGCTTTTTAAAAATAGATGTTCAAGTCACCTGGTGAATATGTAATAATATTAAAGTTTTTTCCAATACTGTGCAGCCCTATTCAAGATGCAGTTACAGTATGTTTCTAAAAATACAGCAGTGCTAAAAGTAGCAAAAAGTACAGGCAGATTTTTGGCGTATCTGTAATATGATTTTTCAATCTTGCTTGTCTTTTTTTCAATCTGACAGGATTTGGTGCTCCGACATCCATGTTTACTTTTGTGGTTCTGATCATCACCATCATTATTTGCCTCTCGCATATAGTCTTCGGTCATTTCAAATACCTCAGCGCGCACAATTACAAGGTCAGAAACAGGTTGATTATGATTTTAAGAAATCATAAAGGCCAGAATTATAAACCCAAATGTGATTGAATTCTCTGCAGATTGACATGGATGGTGTGGACAATGGACGACTGCGAGGTTCATCCCCACCGGTCAAGTCTATGGTAAGTTTTAACCCTCAGGGATGTTTATATATTCTCAGGGGAGCTAATAATTCTTCAACTGTTTTGTGCAGCCCTAATTGACGCACTACTATGTTGTCCTGTCTGATGTTTTCTATCTGCTTTACACATTCTGCACTGTTTTTTTTTTTTTAAATCAACAGCAGACGTACATTGCTCAAGTGCTACAGGACCCAAACTCAGACGAGACCGGAAGTGACCAGGGTCAAGGGTCATCGCAGGACGAGGAAGGGGTGACCGAGGGTGACTTCCAGTCAGGAGAGGACAGTCTAATTGAAAACGAAGTGCACCAGTGACCCAGGCCGGGCCACGGCATGTGCTGAACTGAGAGAAACTAGCAGGACTCCCCACATAACCAAACGGAGATACACTACACTAACTGTGTGTGAGTCCATCCCAGCTGACAGCTCAAACACTCCTTTATCTTTAATGTTTGGAGACAGGATGGCCAATTGTCAAGAACCTGGAGAGTGGCTTGTGATTGTACTCCAATATTGTTCATCATAGTTTCATAATTCATCCTCACATTGTTTGTCCTGGATTTGGTAGGTACAGAGTTTCCTGCCGTTACAATGCATGTTTAGTCAGTAAGACCAAAAATATAAATGATTAGCAAAAAAATGAATTATGACAGCTGTAGTGCTGTATCAGTTGGCCAGTAATGTTTTATAATAATATATTTGCTTACAGATTTCACCCTTAAATCTTTTGCATTAAAAGATTACTTATTTGGTGACAATTACAAGTAAAAATAGGTAGATTGCAACAGACTTTAACAATTACAGTATAAAGGACAGTTCTAAGATAGTCGAGAGCTTAACGTGTTGCATTTAAGAAAACACATGCAATTACAAAAATTGCACACAAAATAAGAAAAGATCCTCCTCACAACGCATACACAACAGTGCTGCATTTTCCTACAACGCAAATAAATCAATAAAACTTGCTGCATTTTCCTACAACGCAAACAAATCAATAAAACTTGCTGCATTTTCACACAACTCAAACATTAATAAAATGCGCTGCATTTTCACACAACGCAACAGTTTACGAAAACGCCTGCATTCACACAACGTAACAATTAACGAAAACACACTGCATTTTCACATAACACAAATAAATTAATAACGCGCTACATTTTCATGTAACAAACAAATTAATAAAACTTGCTGAATTTTCATGTAACAAACAAATTAATAAAATGCTCTGCATTTTTATGTAGCACAAATTAATTAAACACGCTGCATTTTCACATAACAAATTAATTAAACACGCTGCATTTTCACATAACAAACAAATTAATTAAACACGCTGCATTTTCACATAACACAAACAAATTAATTAAACACGCTGCATTTTCACGTAACACAAACCAAGAAAACATGCTGCATTTTCTCACAATTTACGAAAACGCCTGCATTTTCACACAACGCAACAATTTACAAAAACGTGCTGCATTTTCCCATAACACAAAAAAAATTGACAAACCGTGCTGCATTTTCCCACAACGCAAACAAATTAACAAAACGTGCTGCATTTTCACACAACACAAAAATGAGCAAAAATGCACTGCGTTTTCTCACAACTCAAACGAATTTTAAAAAACATGCTGCGTTTTCACCCAACGCAACAATTTACGAAAACACAGCATTTTCACACAATGAAAACAAATTAATAAAACATAAAAATGAAAATAGATATATATTATTTTTTATTAGTCTGAATAACCATAACTTAATAGCCAGGTTCGTCACATTTTAGGTTCTCTTAAAACGTTTCCGTTGTGTTTCATGCTATTTAAAAATGTTGTAAGAAAATGCAGCACGTTTTTGTAAATTGTTTGCATTGTGAGAAAATGCAATGCATTTTATTAATTTGTTTGCATTGTGAGAAAATGCAGTGCGCTTTCGTAAATTGTTTGCGTTGTGAGAAAATGCAGCACACGTGCATTCAAACAACTGAAGAAATTTTCTTAATTTGCTGTCGTTTTTGTAATGTTTTCTTAAATTGCAGCACATTAAGCTCTCTCAGCCACCATACAGTTCACCCATAAATAAAATACAATTTTCTCAGTATGAAATAGTTCTAAACTTTCTTATAAATTCTGAAGTATGATGGAAGCCAGCAGCTATTTACATCAATAGTAGGATAGAAAAAAATACCATAGAAGTCATTGGCTGTTTCTCTGAAAGAAACTCAATTGACTTGCAACAAGTAGAGGATAAGTAATGAAGAATGACAGATTTTTCATTTTTCTGTGAACTATACCAGGAAATTGTGATGTCAAATGTATTAATGTGCATTCATTTACTTTTAAGCTGTCCATTAAGTAGAGTTAAGTATCCAATTATAGTACAGAAAACAGAGAGCCCTAAAACATTTCATAATCACAAATTGTATCTCATATTGTAATAAATTTTATACAGTCAAGCCCTAAATGATTCATAGCCCTGGCAAATTCTGACTATTCAGTAAGTACCTTTTCCTTAAAAGTATCATTTCTTAAGTTATTCCTTTATAGAAGTTATATATAGTAAGTTATAACTTATATAAGTTATTAGTATTATTATTCCTTAAGTTACATTTACTCAGTGAGTAACCTGAAATCACACATAATAAGATGATAATGAGATAAGACGATGTACAAGAGACATCATTGTAGAAAATAAACATTTCACAGCTTTTATTTACAATTGAACTTTACCTTTAAATCAGAATTTGCCAGGGGTGTTAATAATTTCAGGCTTGACTATATTATTATAAATGCTCAAGCTTTAGAAACCAAATATTTTCCTTGGGTCAACTGAAATAGCACTACATCATAAAGTATTTTAAGATTAGACAAAAAAAATCATGCAATTTCATATCTCTATTAAAGTGAATGTATTTAACATAAAAGCCACTGCTAGTTCCTCTTGAATTGGGTTATGTCGGGAAAAAAAAAAACAGGATGATGAAGCTCTGATTTAACAGACCGTGAGGGGAAAACAGCCGCCGAACACTAACTCTCTCACCGTAATATACTTGAACTGGAAAAGCCACTATTTAGAGCGTCTGACAGACTCAAATCTCTGGAACTCTTAAAGGTCAAAAGCATCTCCTGTCCACCCTTCCGTCTTCAGCATATCCAGTGTTTCAACAGTTTAAATGTAACTACTATCACACTGCTAATGCGCGATACTGCTGTCTGAATCAAATGGACCAACTTTGGATCATGTTGCTCTACTGTGGAATGTTGTCAATAACTGGATACTGTAGCGAGATGCACAGCAAATCCCCAATGCGGACATAAGGATTTGCTGCTGAACGTGAATATGTTTTTCTTTTTGTTATGCATGGGTATGATAGCAATGCTTTCATCAGGTTTGTTGATTTGGTTTCTTTAACAAGTATAGACACTAACTGTTATTTGATCAGCTAACATGCTTTACTACTCATAAATACAGTAAAAAATGACATGGGAAACAGTATAACATCAAATCTAGCAACACTCTCATTGGGTCATGTGTCCTTAATATGGCCTTCTTTATTGCTATGGTGGTGTTTTCCTTGGCATTTCTACAAGAGAACTGGAACTGGTGGTTCTTACCTGTGTGCATTTACAAGCTGCTTGCTTGCAGTTGTGAACTGGGTTTATGCATCATTTAGTGGTTGAATCTGGATTAAAACAAGAACAAAAACTAGTTAAATCACCCGTTTAATGACCACTTTTAAAATTTAGTTCATATGATTTTCCTACGATCTCCGATTAATAACATATTGCATTTTTTTTGTTCAATGTAAAAGTGCAGAAACAAGATATCTTCAGAGTTTTTCCCTTTCGGAAATGAGCAGACAAAGGCTGTGCCTGAGTGCTTGCTTTAAAATCACCATCACCTCCCCTAAATTGGTTGATCTTTCCTGCTAGTTGGCTCTAAATAGTTCTCATTGTGTCATTTATTGTTTACAGGAATAGCAATGCAATGGTTAAACTGTCTTTTTCCGCATCAAACGTTGACTTGAAATGGTCGTCAGGTGTAAGCTTAGAACATTAGCAAGCTAATCGGTGATGTTTTAGTTCATTTATGTAAATCCCACTAATCACTGAGGAGCTTTGTAACTATTAAATGCAAATAACACTGTAGGCTATGCACTTTATGTGAAAATATGTAACATTATCACGGTGTATGTAATGATATCAAGCCATTTTTGTTATTGATCTCGTTTGGACGTGTACCTGGATGCTCCTGCTGCTTACATACTGTAGGTGATGATGTGTCCGTATGACTGCATCCTGGATCTGTTTAGGAAAAAGAAAACAAAACACTGTTCTGAAGCATGATGCGGTGGCAATAATTTATTTATGCATCTCTCTAGGCTTTATTTCCCATTTGTTACAGGTGTCGTCCGCGATATTTATTTCATTCGTCTGTTATATTTTCCATCTTCTGAATTAACCGGCCGTTGACCTGGAGTGAAGCGGTTAATCGGTGTGATATTTTTGTACATAGAATCATTGCACTGCTCTTCAAACACTAAACTGTATTTACATTTGTACAGCTTAGCCAGCAAAACCCATGTACAGTCGACCATGCATTGTTTGCTTTTCTTCCATTCGGATTTCCCCTTAAGATCGTACTTTGCTTGCGATTGCTGTTTTTAATAGTTTTGTATCTCAACCTCCCCCTCAGATGATCTTTTGTACAGCGTCATCCTCAAACTCTTCCATGTCTTTGAACAATAAAAGAGTCATTAACTGACAAAACCATATTTGGAGTCAAGAAATTCATTTTCCTTTGGCTTAGTCCTTTATTTATCAGGGGTCACCACATCACAATGAACCACTAACTATTTCAGCATAAAGTGGACGCCCTTCCAGCCACAACCCAGTACTGGAAAACACCCATAAACTCTCACATTCACACACGCACTAATGCACTACATCCAATTTAGGTTACCCAATTCACCTATACCCACCAACCTGATTTCACCAAGTAGGACATGTTTCTGGATTAACATCCATGTTGATCCTGGAACAACATGCCAATCAGAATTAAGTGATTCGTTTACCGTTTATGCTTTCGATTTGGTTTGTGCACTTGTACATGATTGATTTTGGGAATCATTTTCAGTTATGGTTGGGTTTAGGGGTAGGGAATAAGTATGGATTACATTTTTTGACAAAAAAAATTATGTTTCAGGATTAACATGCTAATCCAGGATCGCATCATGCTTTGCACAATCATGACACTCCATGTCTTTGGACTGTGGGGGAAACCAGAGCACCTGGAGGAAACCCACATGAGTATGGGAAGAACATGCAAACTCCACACAGGAATGCCGACTGTGCAGGACTTGAACCAGTTTTTTTTTTTTTTGGATGTGCATGCTAGAATTTATTTAGCAAATACGTTTCCATTGTAGTTCATGCACATTTGTTCTTATCGGATAAAAAGTTTATCCTACTGAGGGTTTTCTTCAGTCCTTAAATGCGATTTTTCTACATTTTAATGTGCATCTTTACGTTTCTTATGCATTTTGTTATGAATTGCAAATTGGGCTTAAAATCCTGTACTGTGATCTGGGTATAAAGGGACTTTGTTTAAACAAAAATATAAACAATAGTATGATGTAAACAAAAACCCATTGGCTGTCTTTTTCCCACCCTGTCTTCATGATTTAGCTGAAATTACATCAAACACTGAACAAAAGTGCAAATTTCAAAGAACTTCACAGGACCTTAATCTTCTAGTCTGAAAAAAAAAAGTTAATCTTGGATTAGCATTAGCTTTTTTTTTTTTTGTTTACGACAGTCAGTATGCTCTTCTGTCCTAACTCTGCTAAGTCAAAGCAATATTGCTAGTTTTGTTCATATAGTATACTTTCATTTTTCTTCAGCTTAGTCCCTTTATTCATCAGGGGTCGCCACAGCGGAATGAACTGCCAACTTATCCAGCATATGTTTAGCACAGCTGATGCCCTTCCAGCTGCAACCCAGTACTGGGAAACATCCATACATACTCACACACATACACTACAGCCAACTTTGTTTATCCAAATCACCCTGGGGGAAACCGGAGCACACGGTGGAAAATCCACACAGAAATGCCAACTGACCCAGCTGAGGCTCGAACCTGCGACCTTCTTGCTGTGAGGTGACAGTACTAACCACTGAGCCACCGTGTCGCCCCATTTAGTATATGTTTAAGTATTTAAACCACAATGTAAATTAATAAACAAAATCTCTTGGCTTCCAAATAGGCATTTTAAAATATATTAAGGACCATTTACCAAGATTGAATACTAATGTAGAGCACAGTCTGGTCTTGAAACCAGTAAGCAGTACTTGTTCAGGCCATTTAAATATATCAGTATTAAGTATTTTGTTTGCAGATAGAATTAAAAATACCATATTGTTCTAGACCAAATTAGCCTATTGTTGATGAACACTAAATCATTTAACTAAAGCAAGGGTGTCCAAACTTGGCCCTGGAGGGCTGGTGTCCTGCTGAATTTAGCTCCAACTTGCTTCAACACCACCTGCCAGGAAGTTTCTAGTGTAACTAGTGAGAGCTTGATTAGCTGGTTCAGGTGTGTTTGATTAGGGTTGGAACGTTCCAGGATACCGGCCCTCCAGTATCGAGTTTGGACATCCCTGAACGAAAGCATAAGTCTCAAACTCAATTCATGAAGGGCTGCAGCTCTGCACAGTTTTGTTCCAACCTTAATCAAACACAGCTGATCCAGCTAATCAAGATGTTCAAGACTACTGTAGGCTACTAGATCCGCTGGGTTTGATAAGGGTTGAAGCAAACTGTGCAGAGCTGCGGCCCTCCAGGAATTGAGTTTGAGACCTATGAACTAAAGAGACACAATATTAGATTTATAATCCACTTGTGTAAAAAATACAGCAAACATCCCATATTCATCGTCATGTTTTATCCACCATTTTCAAAATCAGGTTTTGCATGTTTTATCACTTTTTTTCCTCCAATGACTGATATCATTTTATGGCAGCATTCTTCTAGTTACCACAGTAAGTTCAGTCTTTGACCTCTTATAGTCTTATGCTGGAGTCTTGTGATGTGTCTCCAAGGAAAACAGGAACAGGGAGCCATGAATCTCACAGTTTTTCTGACATCATGAATCATTCATTTGAACCGATTCTTTCCAACAGTAGACTCGAATCTTTCGACTGCATTTTGGCATTGACAAAATGTTTTAAATCGGTTAACCAACTGTAAAAGACATATATAAGTCACATAGGATCATTCACATGTTCTGAATTGTAATTATTTCACCACTTTAAAGTTTTGAGTTGTTTGTATGAATCTATTAAAGCATCTTAACAGAAATATTATGTTAATTCCCTGCAAAAAAAAAAAATCAAGCTTAAACCAGCCTAGGATGGTTGGCTGGTTTTAGCTAGTCGATCAGCCTGGTTTTAGAGGGGTTTTGGCCACTTCCAGGTTTCTAACCATTTCCAGCTAAGTTTTAACTGGACAGGCTGGGAGATGACCAGCTAGAACCAGCTTGACCAGCCTAGCCAGGCTGGGAGCCCAGCCAAAACCAGCTATGTCTAGCTTAAACCAGGATGGTCAAGCTGGTTTTAAATGGTTTTAGCTAAGACCAGGCTGGATATGGCTGGAAACTAGGCTGGTCGACCAGCTAAAACCAGCCAACCAGTCTAGGCTGGTTTAAGCTGGGTTTTTCAGCTGGGTTTTCACAATACACCTATTAGATACATCTAAATGCTGCTATGACAGTACTTTAGTTGAATTGTTTATGTATTTTAGAGTTTAAGTAATTTTTTTCGAAAGAAAAACAACTTACCTCCGCCGTTTCGCGCGCCATTTTAACAGCTTTTGATGAATTAACGTTGTCACGTGTCCAATTAAAACCTAACATTCACAAAGTAAACATTTTTTTGTTATAATAATTCACAATTTGCTAACATTATATTTTTTTGACAGCTGGTAGACATTGCCAACTAACTACACCTGTTAGCAAACTGCTTGTTTTCTTAAACGTAAATTCACCGTTATACAATGTTATTTTGAAGCTTTTTGGTATTGCTTGCTTTCATAAAAGGTACAGAGTTCAAAGCTATATTATAATTATATTATTCTGAATGAACATCTTCGTAACGCAATAGATCAAATAAACAGCTATTTAACATAAAAAAAAAAACAAACGCTAAATCTCCGGTGGTTTTCTGACAACACTTCTAGCTGATAGTGAATCAGTTCACTTAAAGGAATCGATTCCTTAAAATGGCTCTCACTCTGAGCATCATCATGTAATTCCGTCTCTCGGACTCTAGGGGTGCAGTTTAGGGTTGTGGAGGGTTATGGACGGTGGCGATACGTGGGGAACTTCACTCTGCCTTTTATTAAGTGCTCAAAGAGGATATTGTGATTTCTGTTTGTGTTTTTGGCTGTTTTACATGTGATGCAGCCCGATTGTGCGTTCAAAGGTTTAACCGGACGAGCGGAAGAGTCATGGACGGAGCTTGGGCTGTTATTCTCATTTCTCTCGCTATGTTCGTGGGATGTTTTGTGCTAGGGATAATTCCACTATTGATCAATTTATCAGAGGTAAGATTATGAATATCATAATCAACAAGTGAAACATAGCAAACATAGTAAACATAGCCGGATCAGATAGTAAACAGTTGCGGTTTAGACAAGAAAGCAGTGTGAAATGTAGATAAAAACAATGTTCACTAACGTTGCATGTAACTTAGATACTAAATAGTATGCACTACAAATGAAGTTTAGCTAGATCAGTAAGGTTTTACTAGGATTTATACCAGTATTTGAGTTCAGTCACGTAGCTGGATTTCCCTGCACGTGAGATTTTTGTATCTACACATCTTTGTTGTGTAACATTACCAAATACAGTTTGTATATATATATATATAGATTTACATTTACAAATACAATTTATATATTTAGATTTGTATATCATCTTAAAACAAACGTAATGTGGCATGTAACGTTACCAGTTTGGTTTATTGTACTGTATATACACATGATACTTCAAGTCTATCGTATATACATGATACTTTTATGCTCCACTTTCCAGCCCATAGTTAACTCTGGCAATTTAATGTACTGTTTATGAATATTGTATGAATAAAGTGGTGAACTTTGACGCTGAAAAGAAAATTACAGTTATTTTAAGATAATTTCTCCACCCTTACAGGAGAAACTTCAGTTGATTAGTGTCCTGGGGGCGGGGCTTCTATGTGGCACTGCTCTGTCAATCATTATCCCGGAGGGGGTGGAGTTAGTGCAGGAGTCATGGAAAGGTAAGATTAATTCACTTCACACAATTAGTAAACACAGTCACGTACACTCTTACAATATATGCTTCTATACCAAGTGATTTATAAGTCACCAAAACTCACTTTAATAGTGCCATGTACTAAAGGCGGGATAGTTCACTCAAAAAAAGGTGGGAAATCCTGTTATCATTTACTCACCCTCCACTTATTCAAGTGTATTTCTTATGTTGAACACAAAAGAGGATATTTTTAAGATTGTTGAAAACTGGTAGCCATTTACTTCCATTGGATTTGTTTTTAAACCAATGGAAGTTTCCATTAACCTGTTTTTATGTTCATTTTGAATATCACAAGTATAATTGCTTGATGGGAAATCCCACATTGGCATAAAAATGTATGCGCACAACTGCGTAGGATAAACGCCTTTTAAAAGAATTTCAATGGAAACATTTAGAGAAAAAAATCCAAAAAAAGTAATGTG